TAGGCGTTGCGTTTGTGTTTACGACTAACGCTATTATATTTTCTCTGTGTTTATCAATCTCGATTGTCCCATGTGTTTTGTGGATTGAATTTAAACTTTCCTTTCTTTTTCTCTTGTTTCCAATATTGAAATCTACTTTAATTTTTTTAATAACAGTGCCGATTGGTTGCAATGTTTTTTGGGGGATCTTCACAAGATCATTAAAATTATCCAGTGTTAATTTTTTTTTAGAATCTTGAACCTTGTGAAGTCTTACGGTCCAATCGAGATCTTGATCATTATTTTTCGGTTCTGTTTTTATCCTCAGTTCGGGAAGTCCACCTTTGACGAGATGTTGCACGCCTATAAAGAAAAACAGGTGTTATTTTTGTTGCATTACCCCGTTTGCTTAGAGGTTAGGTAAATATAGGTGTTGTGTAAAACGACTCCTGTTTAACCGACTATAATCATTTGCTATAGTTCTATAGACGAACATGGTAAATAGCATAGTGGTGGCCAGTAGTACGCTCTAGCTGCTGTATATCCCATTCTGTTGTAGTAAAATAGTTTCAGATATCTTGATTTAATTTTGAATCAAGTTTGCTTAAACTTTAAGAAGTACCTACAAAAGTTATATTCGAAATTATTAGAGAAATATAATTATTTAATTGGTAAAGTATTTGTTATCGCATAACTAAATTTAATAATAAATAACATAACGTACTTCTTTACCACGTTGAGGTATTAAAAAAACATTAGTCGATTGTTATCAAATTATAAAATTGCGAACATTTGGTTAATTCGTTGCCACGTGTGTTAACACAAAAGTTTCTAATTTTACAAACATCTTTCTTAGACAGTCTCGCCATGTATGCTCCTCATGTGACTTTTCCAACTGCACTTTTGCACGAATGCCCGTCCACACAATTCACATTTAAATCTCCTATCTTCGTCGTGAATTCGCAGATGCTCTCTCAACGTATTTTTCCTCCCAAAAGCTTTATGACAGTATTCACAAAGGTATTCTTTAAGACCTGTATGTTTCACATAATGTTTATCCAGATCTCTTTTAGCGAAAAATCCCATTCCACATTCTGAGCATATATGGCGACGTTCCTTGTTTGCTTCTTTCATTTTAATCCCATGTACATTTTCCATATGCTTGTTTCTGGCGCGGTTGCAATTAAATTTTTCATTACAATAACCGCATTTGTGATGCCGAACTTTCAAATGAACATTTCTATTATGTTGCACTCTCTTTTGTCTAGTACTGAAAACTTTATCACACAGTTCGCATCCAAATTCACCAGTTCTATGAATACCGCGATGTGTATTCAAATTTTTGAGGAGAGAGAATCCAGCACTACAGATCTCACAAATAAAGTTCTTGAAATGCACGTTCATATGGCTCAGTAAAACTTGGAAACCGGTGAAAACTTCTGCACAAACAGCGCATCGAAGCACATCGGTATCAAATTTAAACGGTAATATGCGACTTTTTATATCGACGTGTGTCGTTATGCCATGACTTTTCAGATGTTCTAAAGACACTTCAACATCAAGCAAATTAGCGTCACAAATACTGCATTTAAGCGCTGTTATGTCAAGTTTGACTAAGAAATTACATAGTCTCTGCCCATTGCCAGGCCCAAAAAATTTTTTCTTTAATTTAACATCATGTTCTTCCAAATTATGTCGTTTTAGTTCGGCCGCATTAGGAAATTGGGACTGGCAGAAGCAACAACAATACCTTCCACCTGATACACATCGAATAGGTGTTGCATTTGTATTTACAACCAAAGCTGTAATGTTATCCCTATATTTATTAATCTCGTTGGTTGCGTCTGTATTTTGGGGAGAATTAGCTACCGTTTTCTTCCTTACTTCTTTTCTTTCTTTCTTATTCGCAATACTGAAATCTACCTTCACTCTTTTTATAACTGTGCCGACTGGTTGTAATTTTCTTTTCATAACTAGGCTAATTGGTTGTATTTTCTTTTTAGGCTTTATGTGATCACTAGGAACATTGACACTATCTAGTGTGGCATTTTTTTTTAAACTTTCGATTTTTATAATTCTTACAGTCCAATCGAGATGTTCACCTTTATCTTTCTGTTCTGTTTTTATTCCCAGTTCGGGGTGTCCACCTTTGATGAGCCGTTCCTCGCCTATAAAGAAAAGCAAGTATTATTTTTCTTTGCTTTGCCACTGTGCTTATATGCTAGGTAATATGATAAATCATATACAGCACTTTCGACTTCTGCTAATCTTCTAGCTCTGTCCAATTTGGAAAGTTTGTTTTGCCGAAGCTGGTAAATAGGAATAGTGTAATAATTTTGAAGCAACGTGACATCTTTGTAGGTACTGACTTGCGAACTGAAGTAAAGTTGATTAGGCAAAAGATTCTTGTTGTAATTTATACTTCACTTCTACTTGTACTACGAGCATATTCTATTACACGTCCGTACGTAGATATCATCCCAATACCATAACTCAAAACAAGACCACCTAATAAGAGGATATGATGGATGCTCACAGCATACAATCACAGTTGAAGTGTAATGTAGGTACATTGATTTATTAATTTATTGGAATTGACCAATTCCAATAAAGAAAGGGCGCTAAGTCGGTACTCGATAAAAATGGTACCTAATTAATTTGTTTAAAACATTCATGTAAAACCAGGTGACGATTGCCCCAAATGGTAAATGTTGAATTCTGTACAAGACTAATATTTCGAAGTTTTATAAGAGCTACTTTTAAATGTATTCAGTAGAATGGTGCTAAAATATGAACGCTTGCACTATATGAAGTTGCAATACAGAATTTCGGGATGTAAGTATTTTTATACAAAACTGACTGTACCCGGTACTGTCGGTTTGTCTTTAAACTCTGCAAAAGATGGGCTTAACGTGCCCAGAAGAAGGATCTAGTAGTTTGGAAACTTTTGCGGGTGTGGATACAGCAACTCATGAAAGTACCGCATGAAATCGGATATATGATAATGGAACAAGATTATATATTTTGTACATCTATACATCAACAAATAACTTAAACCAGTAATAAAGTTAATATTTTTAAAATGTCCATTAAAAATAACGGGCATCCTTATTAAATTAACGTTTCGGTTATAATTCTATAAACCTCATTATTTTAATTGATATTGCAAACGTCTCGTTTTTTAAACAGTCTCGCCATGCCTGCTTCTCATATGGCTTTTCCAGCTACATTTTTGCACGAATGCCTGTCCACATAATTCACATTTAAATCTCCTATCTTCTTCGTGAATTCGCAGATGCTCTCTCAAAGTATTTTTCCTCCCAAAAGCTTTATGACAGTATTCACAAAGATATTCTTTCACACCAGTATGTTTAACGGAATGTTTTTCCAACTCGCCCTTAGTGAAAAACCCCATTCCACATTCTGAGCATACGTGGCGTCGTTCCATTAAATGATGCCTCCTTAAATGCACTGACATAGCCGATTGGTGAGGAAACGAGCGGTCACAAGCTTTGCATTTCACTTTTTTTATTTTGAATCCATGTTCTTGTTGCATGTGCTTGTCCCTGGAACGACTGTTTCGAAATTTTTCGCCACAATACCCACATTTGTTATGTCGTACTTTCAAATGGACAATTTTGTTGTGATAATCTCTCTTTCTAGAAGTATCAAAGACTTTATGACAGAGCTCGCATTTAAATTCACCAGTTTTATGGATTTCGCGATGTACTTTTAAGTGTTTGAAGAGAGGGAATCCAGCGCTACAGATCTCGCAAACGAAATATTTGAAGTGGCTGTTCATATGTTCTTGTAAAGCTTTGAAACGGCTGAACATTTCCGAACATATAGCGCAACGAAGCACTTCCGAGTCAAATTTAAACGGTAAAATACGACTCTTTATATCCATATGTACCACTATACTGTGAGTTTTAAGATGTTCTAAAGATTCTTGGACGTTATCCATGTTAGCGTTGCAAATGTTGCATTTAAGCGCTGTTATATCAAGTTTGACTAATAAATCGTATAGAGTTTTGTTTTTACTACTTCCCGTAAAGTTTTTTTTAATCTTAACATCATGTTCTAAACTATGTCGTTTTAATTCAGCAGCATCAGGATATTGAGACTTGCAAAAGCAGCAACAATACATTCCCCCTGAAACACAGCGGATAGGCGTAGCGTTTGTGTTTACAATTAACGCTCTTATGTTACATATGTGTTTATCCACCTCGGCTGTTGCAGTAGCCACCATACTCAAATCTACTTTAAATGTTTTTATAACTGTGCCGAAAGGTTGTAGTCTACTTTTGGTAGTCTTCACATTATCGCTCAGAACATCTACTCTAATAGGTCTAATGATTTTTTGAGGCCGTTCAATTTTGGCAATTTTCACGGTCCAGTCGACATCTTCACGTTTATTTTTCGGTTTCGATTTTATCCTCATTTCGGAGAGTACGCCATTGATGAGCCGTTGCTCACCTATAAAAAAAAGCATTTATTATTGCTGTGCCGCTTATCGGTTTCGTAAATATACCTATAGCATTTTTTCGTGAGTATATTTCTATAATCGTAGTTGGTACGTCTACGTCATTTTGTGTAATTTATTTAGCTGCATTTAAATCTTACGTTCGTCTGAAAGAAGTTAAGCAAGACGGCGATAATTTATTGTTATTAGTAAAAAATCTAATTAATGTCACATTTACTATTGTGAATTCATTAGATGTAACATACATATAAATTTAAATAAAATAATATTATAAAGATAACATAAGAATTACAAAAACAAACAAATTCTTCTATACATTATTTATTCGAGAAAACCCAAACACAAAAACATGATCTTATGCTGTGCACACTCCCTATAACATAAACGAATCGTTGAAGTTTATATTACGTAAATTGTTCCATACCGTAAACCCGATTCTATTACTCATATAGCTATTGATGTATGACCGTATTAATATGGAATAGAATTTCAATTTACAAGGGAGTTTATTATATATTCAAGTCTCGTACATATTCAATTATTCAATCTTAAACAGATGTCCATGAAGATTATCCAAATGCCTCTTCAAGCCAATTTTCTGCACAAAAGTTTTTAAACAAAAATCACATTGGAATCTTTTCTCGTCGTCGTGACTATTCATGTGTGTGCGGAGACTTCCCAATCTTGCAAACGTCTTAAAGCATTCACCACATTGATACAACTTATCCAACTTGTGAGTAATTTCGTGACTTCGTAGCTGACTTTTGCTGAAGAAGCTTTTGTCGCAATCACTACAATTAAATGTCTTCTCCATCATATGAAACGTTCTTATGTGCTTCCGAACTTCCCGCGGAGTGATAAACTCTTTATCGCAAATAGAACATGACACATCCAAGTTTTTATTGTGAACTTTGTTCATGTGTTTCAATTTCTGATTAAATTCTTCGAATCGTTCGTCGCAATAGTTGCATTTATTCTTCTTTATCTTATAATGAACCGTTTGTTCGTGTCTTTTCAAGCGATCTTTGCTTGAAAACACTTTGGCACAAAAGTGGCATATCGATTCTGCAACGGTATGCCTTAATTTGTGACGGTATAACAATTCGCTGCTTATGAAGCCAGAGTCACAAATATCACATAAAAACTTTCTGAAGTGTATATTCATGTGTTCCCTTAACATTTTGAAGACAGGGAAGTTTGATAAACAGTAAACGCAACGCATTTCCTTTTCATCCAATCTAAAGGGAAGAACTATATTGTCAACATCAGTGTTTACTTCAAGGTCATGTATAGATTTGAAATGTTGCAGCAAGGTTTCCAAAGAATCGATTTCCTGGTCACAAATCTCACATTTTAAGTCGGTAATATCCAATCTTACAACGTTTTTGTTAAACGCTTGCATCTTTGACTGTAGAAAATCCTCATTTCTGTGTGTTTCAACAAAATGATCTTTCAGATCTTGAGCTCTTGTCATTGTTACAGGGCAATAGGCACATTTTATGCCAGTTATATCTTTGAATTTAATTGGATTGGCATTTGAATTGAATAATATTTTCATCAAATTGTTCTTTTGCTCTATTCTTTCAAGTTTCAAAGCTCTCCTGGCTCGCCTTAGCGATGCTTTGGTCACTCTCTCTGGTTTTGGTCCGCCAAATCTGCTTTCACCTAGAAACAAAAGGTTGTATTTATTATGTCTCATCTTCTTTCCTCTTTTCCTTTTCGAAATTTATCACCATTTTCATCTGTCTTAGGACAAATAAAAAAGTCGATAATTAATGAATCAAACGTCCTGTGCCACATAAATAACGTATATTTTCCCAGTGTGATATTGGCCAAGTAACAAGGATTTCTCGGGCTACAGCGTAGACGATGTGACGGTTAAGGTGTGCAACTTACTGATAAATACTACTACTAGAATTGGAGACATTTACTTCTAGGACCACACATAAATGAAACTAAAACCATTCATTAATAACTTATAATATCGAGTCCAGTAACCACACACTACAACACACGATTTTTACATTTAACAATACAAAATAAATATTACAATATACAACACAAATTCAGACCTCATTTTGGAGCATTCTGTACTAGCATATTACTTTTGGATATCCCGTGATTTTTCTTCATGTGCTTTCTTTTTGAATTCTGTGTTGCATATGCCTTTCCACATACTTCACATTTAAATTTCCTTTCATTAGTATGCGTCGCCATGTAATGGCCTAGCATATGACGTTTTATGAAAAATCCCATGGAACAAACTGAGCATTCGTATGGCCGTTCTTTAAGATGAACACTCCGCATATGTAAGACCAAATTTGATTTGAGATTAAATCGTTTTTCACACATATCACACTTAATACCCTCAACATTGTGCACTTGTGACATATGACGAGTTTTTTGGTAATAGTTCTTGAACCTCGCTTTACAGATTTGACATACACTATCCCCAGCGATCCCTTTGTGTTCAGTATTCACATGCGCTTTCTTTTTTGATTCAGCTGCAAAGACTTGTCCACAATGTCGACATGGAAAGCTAGATTTCTTCTTACCGTGTGTAGTTTCGTGCCGATTTAACCGAAAACTGTTCACAAATCCTGCTCCACAAGTAGTGCAGATAAAATTCCTATAGTGAACATTCATATGTTGCATTAGAAGTTTCATATTATGAAAGACTTCGCTACAGAGACAGCAGTTCATCTGCTGATCGCCCGTCAGTTTGAATGGTTGAAAATAATCCGTAACTCCCAAATAAAACTTCTTGTCATGTTCCGCGACTAGGTGTTCCATCAAAACCTTAATACTTTCCATCGAAGAGTTGCAAATACTGCACTTTAAGTCTACTACATCCAAAAATGCGACAAAACTTGCCATTCCTGAACCTGCTTTGTACGTCGGTTTCTCTTTAATGTGGTCATTATGTGTGTGACTTCTTAAAACTTCAGGATCAGGGTATGTCTTAAAGCAATAAGCACAGATGTAGCCCGCATCGTTCCTGTCTTTAAAAGGCGTCGCATTTGAAAATTTCAACAATGTAGTCAGATTATGCCACTGTTTCTTCATCTCTGGTACATTCTTTTCGCGAGTCACTAATCTAGTGACCGCGGTCACTTTTTCCGGTTCTTCCTTTAGCTGTTTTCGTTTTTTTGGTGCTCCCCTTTTGCCTATAAAAGAAAAACAAGCTGTGACCGTCAGTCTTCAAACACTTATTGATAAGCACGTTAAAAGCTTGCATAATTACAGTGTCCGCGTGGAATTTCGTATAGGTAAAAGGTACGAGTCATTCCTTCATTCATTGTGACCATTTATAGAAGTTAGACATTCAATCGGACAAAATGGCCCCCAAAATGATTGTTTGGTCTGGATAATATTTCTTAATATTTGTCGTGTTGTTTGAATGCGTTATTTCGTTAAAAACCTAAAAAAACTCAAGAGGCTCGTGAGCATATTGAATCGGTTAGATACTTAGTGGAACAAAAAGACCTTTATGTTCATTTTGTCTCAATGGAAGGTTAAAATCTACTTATAATATATTAAAAACAATGGCACTAGTAGAATTATGTGCGTCATCAGAGTTTACTACGTAAGACCACAAGCCGGGCTATGCGCTTCCAGTATAGACAGATTTTGTTAATCTCGTTTTGCCATGGTTGTGCAAAGTTGCATAAATGTTTGCACAACCCAAAGAAACAATCATTTAATTTCAGACAGAGATGATATTCACTGAAACGTAATACTGAGTATTGTCTGTTCCAACCTGACTACGGTAAGCCACTATGAGAGTAGTGATTGCTTCGGTCTTAAATTGTTGGATGGCCTTCGAATTCATCATCTAAAGGTAAAGGTACATACTTAAATAAAACTCAAAATAGATTCAAATATATTCAACTTTATTGTACACACAAACTATTCACCACATTGACAAATAAACCAAGGGAATGACATTTTAATGGTATAATGGTCAACAAACGTTGCAAGGCAACCTCTACTTAAGATAACAGCTTTTTATTCGTATGGAGACTATCTAATGAAAATATTAAAATGAAAAACAGATATATCACAATCGAGGACAAACTGCTTGATGACTTAAAAGCTTCTGGTTTATCCCTTTCACGTCGAGCATTACGCACTTTGTTTTGCTTTCATTTCTGTCACAAGCAAACTGTTTATTACCTCGTATCAAACGTCCTAACCAAAACTAAGGGACAACCTTCAAGGTCTTCAAACTTCGGCCGCAATACGTTCATAGTCAAGGTTCACCAGAGCGTCTGTCCACCTTATTGGTCGTCTGCCGGTGGTCACCACTCGAGAACTTTATGATCGGCACTTGACCTACTTAGCAATTCTGGGCTATTTTGGTTAGTCTGGTTCTTTTGCGGATACTCATATCCGATTCGATCTCGCAGAGAAACTCTGAGCATAACCTTCTCCACCTCTACGCTACAGTACGTGGTAGTCAATAAACTCAATTGGTTTACAAATGCTGCAGATATTGAAGTTAATATATGATCAACTCGAGAATTGCTTTCTCTATTATAAATTCTCGATGTTACTAGTTAACTGCCTCCTGCCTAGTCACTTCTCCATAAATTAATAAGTTCGAAGCAGTGGAAAACAGAAACGAGGTAAGTTCTGCTCGAAGTGAAAATTAAGTGTTTTACAGTGACTGGTACTGTTACTTTTAATGAATAGTCGCAGATATCAAATATTGAACTACACGCGCAATCACACAAGGTCTAAGTTCAAAATTATAAGATCAAAGTACGATCTGCCGCCGATCAGGACAAAATAGTATCTAAAAAATATGTAAGTCTGAACGCGGGCAGCAGGACAAATCGTTATTATGTTATAACTACAATTTGAACATCCTAATGTCTAGAATATTTTCTATTTAGCATAATTCATTTTCAGATCTTAAGATTTGTTATTGCTCGTAACCCATGATTTATTGGAGTTTTAGTCGAAAGCTGTCGATTGCTTAGGTTTTCGCGATTATTACACACTGAAAATGAAAGTATATCTTCAATCACATACATCTGTTTATTCAAACAACAGGATTTGAAAAGAGCCCGAAATGTTGGTTTGTGAAATTTAAGATCAAAACTGAACAATATACCTATTTCTATTACCCCATAGCTAGTTCCCAAAGTTAACTAATTGTTTCCTCCATTATTGCATATTGAAACAAGTCTTATTATGTTTTAAACGAAAACAACAAACTATTTGCAATTATTATTATTGAATAAAAATATTTTTTATATAAACAATCCACTAGTTTGTTATTGTTATTAACGCAAAGATCGCAAAAACGCAAAGACAAATTCCTTCGATACGACTGGACTCAAACCAGCGTCTGTAGCCAAGTTTAGGCAACAGACAATGCAATAACCAGGGAAATAGCTATTAAAACCCAGTACGACTTGCGAAATTCATTCACAGACCGGGAAAGATTTCTCATTTTTAAACTCTATGCTTGGTCTAAAATAATCTATGCTTAATTTTTTATTCTTCGTTTTTATATGAGGTAGACACATATTGCTAAATGTTATCACTTCATCTCAATTTATCTCTTTATCCCTAAAGCGATCAATATTTTTTACTTGACTTGAGATTCTTTCAAATCGAAGTAAATTGAATTCTAGAATTCGTTACCGATTTTTATGATAATAATTTTCAACTGCGACAAGACGTCAACTTTTGTTATTCAAGAGGGATACTACTTTAACACACACACTCAAAGAGGATTACTTATTGATCTTGTTTCGTTCAAATTTGGGCTTTACAGATCTGTCTATTGAAATTAGGTTATTCAATAAAACTAACTTTCTTACGTAAATATAAAAAAAATATATAATGTGAACCAAAACGTTATAAATTATTCGTCTTTTGCTCGTTTAATGATCCGTTTTAGTTTGGACTCTACGCCAGAAAGCATCTTTTGTTCACCAGATACATGATTTAAAAGGTACCCAAAGGCGCCAAAGATGATAATAATAATAGTTTATTTTCTCCCACAAATATCGATTAAAAACTAATTTACAGCAGGATAGGACGACAGCCATGTAGCCCGGGTGCAATAAATACCTCGGCGCCCTCAATTAGGCACGCGATCGAAATTAAATACTTTGTTATATTTTCCTTAGATCGGAAGTTCAGATGCAATGGTGCAATTATAAAATGATGTTGGAAAACAATAGCCCGTTTATGTAGCTTACGTTGCTCGGCGTCCCCTTTAGAACCTGAGCCGTGTGCGCCGCACACCCTGCACTATAGGTAAAGTCGGCTCTGGGAACCAAGGTAAAAGAAGTAGCTGTTGATTTAAAAAAAAATTATGTTCTCATACTATAGACGTAAGTGACAGATTTAATTGACATCTACAGATAGGCATGAGCCTTTCAAATAGAATGCCATACTTTGTCCGAGTCGTTAGTCAATACGACAGTTACTGTGACAGATTCGACTGACTGTGTCTGCCAGTTTTAATCCTAATTGTGTCTACCAGCCTGTTATTTCTATGAAAAGCCGTGAAGACTATGTCGATTCTTTGTCTCCTGTTCCTGCTTTTTCTTTTTCTTACTTTCTTCCGCGATCTCTTTCAAGGTCATCGATCTATTATCGACCAAATGCTTAACATCGTCGAATTCTTTGAAAATATCAAGGTCATCTTGGTGTAAACGTAAATGACTCTTCAGGCTGCATTTCTGCATGAAAGATTTGTTGCAAACTTCACATTGGAACCGTTTGTCGGTCTCGTGCAGTTTCAAATGTTCTTTCAAAGTTCGCAATCGCGTAAATGTGCGCCCACAAACGTCACACGAACACACTTCACCTCCGTTGTGTCTCGTCAAATGATCAGCTAGACCTCTTTTTGAAAAGAATTTCGCGTTACATTTATCGCACAAATAATTCTTCTGCTGTAAGTGATGATGTTTAATATGACGATTCAGCTCAAATTTCTTCTTATACGTCTTATTACACGCATTACAGGGGTATACAATGGGTGCTTCGTTGTGTACTTTTACCATGTGTTCAGAACGGTCGTAGTAGCTGACGAAAATTTCTGGACAATGTGGACATTTGTTCCTCAACCATCCACCAGTATGCACGCCCTTTTCGTGATTGCGTTTCTTAGTCAACGACGTATAAGCTTTATCACAATAATCACAAGGAAAGTTCCCCTGATAATGGGTCTTTCCATGTTTTCTTAACGCTGCGATAGTGATGTAGCCAGCACCACATTTCTTGCAACAATAATTCCTATAGTGACTGCTCATATGATGATAAAGATTCTTAAAAGATATGTGTACTACAGAACATATTACACAAGTAAAATTGTGCCCATCTTCTAATCGGAAAGGTAAGATAATATCTTTTATGTTTTTGTAAATAGTTTTGTGATGAACTGAAACTAAATGGTCTTTCAAGTCGTTCAGGTCTTTCATGTCAGCTTCGCACACCGTACAGCAGAGATTAGTGATATCTAATTTGATAGGGTTGTAGCTAAGTTTGTAATCGATCATAGTGTTGATTTTGTCTTTTTCCGTCTGTTGGGCAGTGTGCTGCCGTAGATCATCAATGGTAGGGAATGCTTTAGCACAGTAGAGGCAGGAGAAACCTCTCATTGTCTTATCCCGAAAAGGACTTGCGTTGGAAAACTGCAGGATAGCAGTTAGGTTGACTCTGTGCTCAACGCGTTCTGGAGTCGCGCTATCGTCACCTTTTCGTTTTTTTCTGCGCTTCGGTCCGGACCCCGTTCCTATAACAAGAAACGTATCTCAATTATCTTGCTTTACTTCTTCGTTATCCTAGTTCTTAGCTAAGTTTGGGCTGTTTCTGTAAAGCCAGTTGGCAATCAGTGTACGTTTTATCTTCTTTCTTGAAAACTAGACCTTATTCGCTTCATGAAATTGTAGGTATGTACGAAAGTTCGCAGCGCGTGCAGATGACAGAGGTTTGATATTTTAGTGACACTCGTAGTTAGTCACTTCTTATCCGTTAAATTTCAATGTGACATTCATAGTTTTTTAACAGAAATATTCGGAAACAATAAAAATTACGAGTTGGGGTTAATTCCGAAGTTTACCGTCTTCCATCAACGTGATTTTTGTTATTATGCAATAGGTAGATGGTCAATGACTGTCGCCCTAAACATACCGGAATTATTATCGATCTGTTTATAGAATTTTTTATAGGAAAAGTTAAGAGCTGAATATCGTATTCTGATGCGAGAATATAAGTTTATTTGCGCGGTGAGGATAAATGGAAAAAGGAGGATGAAAGACAAAAAAAAAAAGATTGAAACACTTCAATAATTTATTCAATTAAGTTTTTTACGCTTTGACATTAATGTGTATGGTGATGGTACAACGTACATGGTGTTAATGATACACTTAACAATATATATACAGTATCTATACATAGTTATCGGACAGATCTAGTATGGTGCTGGTATAAGAACCCTTAAATCAGTTTATTATGGTCAAATTTGATTTGCATTCTCGCCATATTTACAGAGGTCATTCTATATCCGAAACTGAACCCAAATCACTAATGCGGTAATCAAATTTGATCCAAAGGTCATTCATTGACTTGCACAGCACTTGCAAACATTTTGAACAATGACCTTAAATGCGCAGAAAGAAACGCATTTTAGATCTATTTGGTGGTGGGGTGCGGGTAGCGACGGCGGGAGAGTGTCGCGTATCGAGCGTCCCGATTGCTAGATCAATCGTCCTTGCTTCCCGTACTGCGTCTATGTCACGCTGCCATCCCGCATAGGTACATTCTATTCTAGTCTGTCACGAAATGCCACGTGGTTTGGTATGTAAACAAGAGTCAGTAGTGCAAAAAAAAAGAGTTGTAGTACAAGTGCGTGTCTATTCTTATGACATGATGTGAAACGTTTAGTTTACGCGAAGAATACGAGTGTCGAAGTTTCTGCTTTCAAAGTTGTGAAGTCTAATGTTGAAACGAAACTTACGTGCGAATCTCTGCATAGCTGGCCGGAGCCAGCCACCACTGTGGAGCTAGGTACCTCTAGCAATACTTTCATGTAACCTAACGTCGGTAAGTACCAAATCTAAGTTAGAAAAAAACTTTTTTCAGTCAATTTTTCTAATTAATGTCAATAGTAAATTGTAATACTTACTAGTATCATAATCAATCAATATAATCATAATTTATAAAATGGGTAAATAAGCGTCTAGAAAGATTACGTGTCGCTCGGTGAAGCGGGTAGCGGGGTCACTACCCATGCGTGGTATATATGAGTTGCGACAATTTTGCAAAACTTACAAAACTCACAGTACAGGGAATTCCCTAGTTTAAGACTAGGCAATTGGTATGGTTGTCTGGTACAAATTAATATTTTAATTATTAAAGAAAATTGACCCAAATATTACTTTCTTGTGAATGAAATGAAATGTAGAGAAAATATGTCGATAAGCATTTTTATTTACGAAACCAATTGTGTATCTTTGTCAAATATTAAGACATCACGTATTGAATTCCCCCTATAATGTAGCACATTTTATGCGGTCTCATTGAACTTCAGAATATATACTTTGTTCATGTTGGCATTGTCAACATTAGAATATGAACATTCGACGTTCGTTGTATCTCTTTTAACGTTTGTAATTCTTTTGCCATCGTTATCGACTTTCTCTGTTCCACTTTGACCGCAATTAACAATATTCTCATTAATATTAAATTTATGTACAATATTGTGAAGATCAACCGTCTTCAAATCATTCCATTTCGAGTTGCATTGCTTTTTACTTCGAAAGTCTTTTAATATGTCGTTCAAATTGTTGCCATTTCGAATTCTGTTAGCCAAAATTTGTTTTTCGCTTTTATCGAGTTTGCTGGCTACGACATCATGACCAAGATGAGTGCTGTAATATGTGACCTCATACTTGTCGTCCTTTTCCATATGCGCCAAGGTAATTCTAGATGGGCATGTTTTGTTGCTTTTTTTAACCTTGTTTAGAGATGAATGTTTGCAAAAGTAATATGTTTTCGTAAGCTTTTCATCGTTTTTAGTGCTAACAGACGAAGCTCTTTTGAAATATTTAATTGTCCCATCTTCAATTTGAGATTTCCAATCGAGGAAATCTGTAAACGATGTTGAAATTTTAGTTCAGTAATAGTCATAAAAATTGTTGTTTCTTATTAGCATAAGGAAATAATAAACGACAAGTCAATGACAGCGTCACAATTGTCTAACATGCCAAGATAAAAATTAGTACAATATGACATAAATGTTCAGATGAGTTTCAGTGACAGTAAAAAATCTTTGTAAAGTGAAGTTTCTTGACATAGGGTTGATTTATGGCAAATATACTAATATTTCTGAAAAGTTTTCGATAGGACATCGGACACTGAAAATTGACCGTATAAAAGCCTATTTATGAGTATTTAGTGTACACTTGTTTACCAAGTAAAATATGAAAATAAGGATTACTACATGTCAAATCAATCTTGATTGCCTCTGTGGCCGAACGGTTACCATGCCGGACTGCCACGCAGAGGTCCCAGGTTAGATTCCCGAGCTGGGAGAAATATTAGTATGGTCTACATTTATTTCTCTCGTGAATTTGGGTGTAATTTGTGGTTGTCTATGTGTGTGTCCATGGCACCCGCGACACAGGGTTTCCTTAGTACCGGGCTATATTGAGTGTGTACGTTATTATTATTATTAATTCACAATGTTATTTTTGTGGACACATGTAATATACTAACTCGCATTAAAGGATAATTAGTAACACGAATACCAGAAAGGGACTTCCGACATTTTGAATAACGGTTGAAATGGAAACGTAATCTAACGTATTTTTAGCTTATTCTCAATTGAATCAATAAAAATATGATGGCTCGGATGAAAACAAGTTACATTATCGTATTAGACAGTACCTTGTTATGTCAATCACTTTTTCCTTTGTAAAGTAATATGTTCAGTAACTTCCATATTCTAAAGACTCCTATTAGGTCTAGGTGCAGATTTTAGTAAAAGCTTTAGAACGTTCCTTCATAAGAAAAACTCACCCGCAAAACAACCAAAAGTCAAATTTTCTGTTTCTAAATGAACACCATGCACTGCTCTTAAGTGTTCACTCAACTCCCAGTGTCTTACGTGCTTATCGAGTTGGCTTTCACATATAGGACAGTGTACATATCCTTTTTCTTTACGTTTGTCCCTTTCGCAGACATGAACTGATTGGTAAGAAACGAAAAAGATGCCAGACCGTTCCGAGATCTCAATTCGCGAAGGGCACACTTTCGCTCTCCCTGGGACACGGACTGATCCCAAGAACTTTTGAGGAAAGCAATGGTAGTAATATCCTGATGGTGAACTTCGTTTAAGAAAACATACGTTTTCTTCACTTTCTATGTCTCCCTTCCATTTTGTGAAGTCTGTGTGGAAGAATATTTGTTTTAGAAAATGGAAGAATTTCAGTTACATCACTAACATTCTTCATCTTTCATCTTTCTTTAATCTTTAAATTAATTAGATTGCCTCCTACTCGCACAGTTCTTAAGTGCATTGGCGTGATAAATATTTGTTCAAGTAGCAAATCAAGAGTCGTAAAGATTTAATAAGATTCCAGGTGAACAAAATTTCAGACAAACGCTTCTCTTGTGTAATAAATACGTTGATAATACTTTGAAAAAATCGAAATGATGCTGCTGCTCTATAGTCAATTCAAATTTGTAATTATATTTCATTCTTGAGTCAGTTAATTGCAATAAAACAAACTTACCTTCTAAACAATGAAAGGTGAAATTTTTAAACTCAATCTTGACACCGTGGCAGTTAATCAAATGCTCATCAAGTGTCTGATGGTTCTTCAACGTAGTTTCGCACAATGGACAGTTGTATTTAAGTATTTTATATTCCGACCAGTGATTTACACGCATGTGCTCGTACATATCTGTTCTCGATAGGAATTTTATGTCACACTTTAAGCAGATTTTGGTGTCCGTGTTGGGGCATCCTTAAAGGTGAGCATAGATCAGTCAGCGACATACGCCATAGTCTATGAGGACTATCATTTTAATCGTCACTAGAGAGCCAAGTAACGCAACTGACCGAAAATTCCAAATAGTCGTCGGTAAATGGTCAACTTACGACGCTTTGACAGCGGATATATCCAGTCATTTGTCGCTATTTTGAATTTATAAACAATTCTTTCGGCTTCTGGTGACAATTGTAATGGTAGGCAACATGTGGACAAAATCTTGAAAAACTTTACAGTATCTGGCTGGCAAGTGATGAAAGCCATAAAAAAAGTTGGATGAAAATATTTAGATCGATAAGCAATTGCATAAAGCGACGACTTCCAAGTGTTCACCTTTAGCAAGATGTTTGGCCAAATATTGGTCGTTGAAAAAGATATTCCCGCAATCCTCGCAAAGCTTCTTTCGGGTGGTCACTACGTCTATGCTATGCTTGGTCCGTAGATGCCGTCGCAGGTTGTATGTGGACACTGTTTTGTATGGACACTTTTGACAGCTTAGTTCGTTCTCTGCAACGACAGTTGCAAGGTCAGTCGGGTTGTCATAAAAAGCTTACGATATTCCAGGTTTAAACGGTTCATTCTCTTTTAAAGTATGGATACGGTCATGTTGAATTTGTATAATGCCATAATTGTCTAGACTGGTATGGGTAAAATTAAGGGCAACATCTTTTGGATTTTTGGTCCAAAGAGTTGCACAGATACATCGTCAAAAACTCGATTGCGGACACAATAAAACGAA